TTGCAAAGGCCCTGAGGGAGGAAGAAGCGTGGTGCCTCCGGGCCCTGAAAGCAGGCCAGTGGGACAGAACACAGCAGTGGGGCAAGTGAGAGGAGGGGATACAGAGAGGTCGGGGGGCCAGAGTGCTCAGGGTCCACCGAGCTGTGGTGTGGAGCAAGGGTCTCTGTGCAAGTATAGTATTAGGATTTATGTTTCAAGATTATTGCAGCTTCTGGGTAGAGAATGGATGGTGGAGGCAAGATGGAGCAAGAAGGCTGGTGGGGAGGCCTTTGAGCTTGTCTAGGCAAGAGACAATGGTGGCTTGGACTAGGGCAGATTTCTCAGTCTCGGCACTGCTGACATTGGGTGCTGGACACTTCTTTGTTGCGAGTGGCTGCCCTGCGCATTGCAAGATGTTTAACAGCACCCCTGGCCCCTACCTACTAGATACCAGTATAACCCCCACCCCAAATTGTGACAACTGAAAATGTCTCCAGACATTATTGGAAGTCCTCTGATGGACAGCATTGATCCCTGTTAGAACCCTGGACTAGGAGGGGGTGGTGAAATGGAGAGAAGTGGATGGCTGGAGAGAAGTGAATAGCTGGAGAGAAGTGGATGGCTGGAGAGAAGCAAATTAAGTGGGCAGTGAAGAGGTATTGGCCATTGAATGTGTGGGAGTGGGAGAGAAGGTGCTGAGGGCGACTCCGTGCCGCAGGATGGATGTGGGTGCCCTTCGCTGCCATGGAGAATGGCAGAAGACAGTCCGGGCTAGAGTGAGCATTGGGAAACTGGCCATATCTGTGCTCTGCCACGAACTAGCAAGATCTCAGGCATGTTGTTTTCTCCTACTTGGTTTCAGTTTTCTCACCCTCAAAAGACAATCTCTGTGCTTGATCTAGAAGAGCAGATGCAAAGGGGCCACTCTCCTTCCTGCACCTGAGGCAGGCATAGTTAATCAATTACAGCTCTCTGAGCCTGGCGTCTTCTCCCCATAGTGCTTCAGGACAGCTAGCAGTGGAGGCAGGGTGTCAGAGAAAAAACCCATTTGCCATCCCTCAACTTGAAATTCATTTCAAGCCCTTCCAACTCACCACAGCATTGACATTTTCTTGATGACAATCAAAGTGTGCTTGATAAATTCTGAGCAACAGTGTGCAGACCAGGAGCCTCCCCAACCATCAGGCCAGTCCCATTCCTGCCATGTCATCCACCCCAAGGAGAGCGCTTCCTGCCTGCCTGCTGTTGCAAATACACAACGGGGCTTTGAAAGTCTCCAGTGACAGACTCTTAGAGGCCTCAGGGCTACCCCATCCTTAGGGTCCTTGCTGCTGTCTTCCCCCTCTTGCTTGATGTGTCTCTGAGATTTGCCTGTCTGCCTCAGTCTCTGGGTGACTGAATCCCCCTTCACCTCATCCATGCATTCTCTGTCACTGTCCCCAGGCAGCTCATAACAGAGTGGAAGTAGATATTTTATTGCTTTTTCACTTTCATTCAAAAGCACTTTATGCTTCCTGTTAATGCTTTAAAAAGCAGATGCATGAAATGTGAATTTTTAAATATTTGTCTTCCTTCCAATTCCAATGATGTAGCGAATCCACCATTTGAATAACCTTATACTACTGTGGTGGGTTAAACTGTGTCTCCCAAAGATATGTAGGGTCTTTGCAAAAGTAACCAAATTAATATGAGTTCACGTTGGATGTGGGTGCGTTCTAATCCAATGATTGGTGTCCTTATAAGATGAGAGAAATTTGGACACAAACACATGAGGCAAACACTCTGTGACAACAGAGTCGGAGGTTGGAGTGATGAGTCTGCAAGCCAAGGACCCCAGGGATTGCCTGCAGCCATCAGAAGCCAGGAGAGAGGCATGGAACATATTCATCTTCATAAGCCCCAGAAGTATAGTAACAGTGATATAATAATATTATTATAGTAATCATATAATGAGATAATCAAATAATGATAATATGATGATTATTGCTGCTTTACAGCATTATTAACCTTGCTGACACCTTGATTGCAGACTTCCACCCGACAGAGTCTATGAGAGAATACATTTGTGTTGTTTTAATTCACTTAGTTGGTGATAATTTGTTACAGTAGCCCTGAGAAACGAATACAACGTCCAACCCCAATTCCCTGGAAATTAGGCTGCCACTTATGTTTGTGGTGTGCGTGGATTTCTTCCCCTCCAATTTGTGACTCACAATGGAGGAGCAGGTTTCTCTACCACTCACCTCCTTGCCCCTGGGCCACCTGTGTGGGAAACTCACAGCCTCTGAACTAGGACTGTGCCTCCCAGAGCTTGGTCCCTGTGCCAGCCAGTCTCCAGCATGGCTTGCAGTGACCCCTGCCTCCTGGAATGCATGCACATGTGTAGGGTCCAGCCTCATACGTGCCTGTCCCACCTCACTCACCCCACCCAAATCCCAGCCATGCTGGCTCCTGTCTTTATTTAAAAGATTGATATTTTGTCACCATGGATGTTTTCACATTCATTTTTAGTTTTCAAAATATTACTTGTTTTCACCATGGAGGTTTTTGGCACCCCTTTAAATTTTGCACCCAAGCAAGTGCCTCACTTAGTTCTGGCCCTGGTCCCTTCTCACATTGCAACAGGGCTGACCTAGCTGACAAATGGAATCATAATTGTGACTTATGAGGCTGGGTCACAAAAGCCGTTTCAGCTTTCTCCTTGGTCTCTTGCCTCGCCCACTCCAGCAGAAGCTGGTTGCCTGTCAGTGAGGACATTAAGCGCAGCCCTGTGGGGAGGCTGACAGGCTGAGGAACTGAGGCCTCCTGCCAAAAGCCAGCACCTGTGTGCCAGGCCGGTGAGTGAGCACATCTCTCAGCCCCAGGAAGCCTAGTCAACAGGTGAATGTAGCTTCTGAGACACCCCTAGCCAGAACTGCCGTCCGGGTTGCTCCCCAAATCCTGATCCACAGAAGCTAAAAGAGATAATAAATGATTATTGTCACTTTAAGCCACTAAGTTTTGGAGCGGTTTCTTTTACAGCATTATTAACTAATACAATTCCCTTCTTCAGTGTCTATATTATCCTTCCCCTGCTCCCCCCGGCTAGCTCCTATTGGCTCTTTGGATTGTCTCATTTCACAGAGTACCACTTTCAGGAAGCCTTCCTGAATGCCCCCAGCTGTGTCAAGTGTCCTTTACACTTCACTCTCCAGCTGCAAGGAACTACCTTCTGTTCCTAGGCTGGACCTTGCTCTCTTCACTTCTGAGTCTCTGTATCCACTGCTGTCTTTCCCTGGAATGTTGCCTCTCTCTTTGCCTCTCATTCTGTCAGACTCAGCTCAGGCGTCACCTCTTCCAGGGAGGAGTCCTTCTCTGATTCCCTGGCTGGGTTGAGCATCCTCCTGTGTGCCTCTTTAGCACCCTGTGCAAACCTTTATCAGGTTACATTATGGTTCCATGACACTGCCTTCCTGCAGGGCTGCGTGTTCCTGGAGGATGGGAGCTGTGTCTTATCATTCTGCTGCCCACCATATGATAGTGAATGAAAGATAGGACGTGCTGGGGACTCATATGAGAAGAAGAGGTTGGGATCTCTGCAGCAGAGATCCCTAAACCTGGTGGAGCATCAGAACCAGGTGCTGAACTTATAGAAAGTAGAGATCACAGTCTGGGAGACAGACATCTGCCTCCAAGGACAGACACCACATCCACAACCCTAAATTCCAGCTAAGTTTGGCACCTTGAAAGAAGGGACAGCCACAACGGGATGATAAAGTGGGAGTGCAAACACAGCACCCAGAGGGGCCAGAGGGTGATGTAATTTACTGATGCTGGAGGAATGGACCAGGTGGGGGCTGTGCCAGACTAGAGAAAAAAGCCCCGGCTAGCTCCCAGCTCACAGATCACCTCTTCAAGAAGGTGTTCACAGACCGCAGACTCCACTGGGTCTCTCTGTTAGGGGCTTACTTAACACCAAGCACCTCTCCCTTGAAGCACTTCTTGTCACTGTAATTAACTAATTTCTTTCTTTTTTAGAAATAGGGTCTCATAGGACAATGGCTCAGTACAACCTCAAACTTCTTGGCTCAAGCGACCCTCTCGCCTCAGCCCCCCAGTAGTTGGGACCACCGGCACACCACCATGCCTAGCTGGGACTACGGGCACACCACCATGCCTGGCTAATTAAATTTTTTTTTTTTTTTTTTTTTTTTTTTTTAGAGATAGGGTCTTGCCCTGTTGCCCAGGCTGACCTCGAACTCCTGGGCTCAAGCAATCCTCCTGCCGCAGCCTTCCAAAGTGTTGGGATTACAGGCGTGAGTCACTGCACCTGGCCTCGTAATGATCTAATTTCTTGTATGGTTTATTTATCAGGGTCTGCCTTTCTGATAGGCTGTCGGTTCCTCAAGGGTTGGGACGGTGCCTGTGTTCCCGGCACCTGCCTGTGCCTGGCGATTTGAAGAAGTTCAATTGCTACATGTTGAAGGAATGGATCATGCGTGAGCAACCATTGATAATTGCATGCTACAACCATCGAATCTGCTGGGTTCGTCCATGGAATAAGTGAGATAATTATGTGTGAAAATGAATGAATGTTGTACTTGCTATAAAATAAGATCATGGGCTGGAGACATAAGGAATCAATGGCATCAGCTGCCCGAGTGGGCGGAACTTAGGTTCTTTCCACAAGAGAAGTTCCCTAGGAGTTTCCGTCAGTAGCTCCTGAGCACACCAGAGGTCTGGCCTGTAGATGAGATTGTTCCTTATCTCCCCAGCTTCGGCAACACAGAAGAGACGGGAGTCTACCTTGCCAGCTTCTCTAGCACCGACCACGTCCCGAATGCTCCCTTCACTTCTTCACCTTGCTTCACTTCACTTACAGGCACGGGAAGAGAAGCCTAGAGAGGATGGATTACCTGTCCGGGTGCCTCCCACTGCAGAGTGGGCGTGTCTTAGGAGCTTCTCTTCTCCAGCCCGGTGCGGCCTCATGTCATCCATACGACCCACCGGCAGAGGGCAGGGCCCGCGAGTGGGGCCAGCCTCCTGGTGACTCTCGCTTCCTCTTTTCCAGCGGACGCTACCAGAGGGCGAAGGTCCGACTCTGGCCAACGGCCCAGAATTTCTGGCCCAGTTTTGCCTGAGGAAGCCAATTGTGCAGGAGGTCAGGATCCCGGTAGGGTGAGAGTGGGAAAGTTAACATTCCCAAGAGACTCCAAGCAACAGGATTTCCTGACTTGGGACTATTACCTTTCTCACATTACATGGCCAGATTTACTTCCTGCTATTATTAAAAGTATGAAAAAGATGAAGATATTTGTTTAATGGAAACAAGGGCAAGAGTTTGCCTAACTCTGGACTTCGAGGAGGTGGTAGGATCTTGGTGCTAACGGCAGTTGGAGGGCTGGGAGGGGACACTAACCCTGGCTTTACCTGCGTTTGTCATCAGCTGAAGCAGGTAACTCCACAACCTCGGAGCCTCAGTTTCCTTTTCTGTAAAAGGCGGGGAGGGTGGGTGGTAAGTGCAATGCTGAATCAGACCTCACAGAGCTGCTGGGTGGACATGTGGGGTAAAAGAGGGGACATGCTTTGCAACCTGAAGAGTGCCCTTTGCATTTTCCTTATCAGTTTGTTCTCCTCCAATTATCCAGCACCTCCATCTGGCCTTCTCAGCTGAGAGGTCCTCAGTGTTCCTGCGGCCTCCAGGAGAAAGGGCCCCCTCCCCGGCTGAGGCCAGGCTGATGGCAGGCTGCACCACCAGCCTTCCACAGTCACCTGGAGGATAGAGAAAAGGAAGAGCTGGAGGCTTCTAGCAAGCTGCCGAGCTGTGTCCTCCAGCTGTGCCCAGCCCCCTGGAGGTCGCGCCGGAGCACGTGGTGGTGGCTATGTAGGAAGCCCCTTTCGTGCCGCCCCATACTGTCTTTGGGATCTACTTTTTACTGCCACAGCCTATGTGCTCTTGATTCTTCTCTCAAGCCCTGGATGGAAACCGGTCCCTGATCCCCGGCTCTGCTTCCTTGGAGGAGCTACTTAACCATTCAGTTCTCTCTGCAGTTAGCTATTAAGGTTGTCCTGCGATCTGAAGCAGAGAGTCCCCGCAAAGGATGCAGAGTAGAGCACCCACAGAGGCGCCTCCAAAGCACTTTCCATGAGGTGGGTGGCTTCTGTTCCCCAGGCGATCCAGGAAGGAGAGGAGAGCTGATGAGTGGGTGGGCTGGGTGAGCCCAGGGCCCAGCTTCCTCCCTCTGGTCCACAACTAGCCTCTGAATCCAGTGTTACACACGACTCTAAGTTGGTCTTGGGACCAAATCTCTGACCTCTTTGGCTGCAAGTATGAGAAGCCCTATTTAGTGCTAAAACCAAATTTTCACTTCTCCTTTTTGGCCTCTTAGAGTCTATCGGCTGAGAGGAAATGAATTCACTAGTGTTTTGGCAAGAATTTATTTCATTTATTGCAATAGCCTCTGTTTACGTTTCGAAACCATGCAGACAAGTGTGTGTGAAAGAATATATTCTGTCCATGGATAATGCCTAGGACCCTGATGAATTCTCTGGCAGGCCCCTTTGCTGGGCACCAGTTTTGTCACCATCCAATAAAGTCTTAATATAAACCTGGCTCTCAGGCTTGAGCTATCTTAACACATTTTGCCAAGCATGTATTATGATAAGCCCATTTTGCAGATAAGAAAAGAGAGGCACTGAGGGTTATTGTAACTGCTCAGGACAAAGAGATAGGAGAACACAAGTTAGGTCTGGGTGACCCCGAAGCCCATGTTTCCGCCCATATTCTTCCCTGCCCCATGAGAGATAATCTGCTAATTGTGTCTCTGTGGCTGGGGACTGGGAACTCTTGGACAGTGAAGTGTCAACTACCAGCCACATGTTAACATTTCCTGAACAGCCACAATGCTTTTGTATCCGTTGCCTCGTTTAATCCCCCAAGAATTCAGTTAGTTGCCCTGTTTTACAGAGAAACAAATCAGTCCTCAGAGAGGTTGAGCAACTTGCCCAAGGTCACAGGTTTAGGAAGAGGCAGGGCAGGGATCAGAATCCAAGTCTGCCTGTCCCCAGATCCCCACTGGCCTCTTTGCAGTGTGTGGGCTTCCCAAGGTCAGAGATAAAGAGGGCACATGTAGCTAGCCTGAGCCATAATATCCCTCAATCCTGCCTTTCTTCCCCACTCACGGCATGGTGGGTATGAAAGAGTAAAATGAAAACCCTGATTGTTTGCCCCAGAGCTGGTCCTACACCTGGGATGGCTAATCAGTCTCCACACAGAATACACTTAGGGTCTCTGGAATGAAGGAGAATGTGGACAGAAAAATGGGGCTTTTAAAAAACCTCAACTGAAAGTAATTTTTAAAGTGCCAAATATTTCAAACTCAATCCAATACACAGGTTTATTACACAGAGGGCCAAAATATCCTAAACAGGCATTATTTTGCAACGAGAAGAAATCAGAGCAAATCCAGCCATCGTTACTCCCAGGAGCTAAGAATGTAATTGTCTAATGTGACTTATAATCAGCTAAGGTCTGGTCTTGATGCTTTAGCCCACCAAATGGCTTCTCCTGTCTCCAGGGGACAATAATCCCTGCGGAATTCTCCTTAGCACAGATGGGTTTCTGCACAGATAACGGGTTTTATTGCTTGAAAGCATTTTGCATTCTGTACTGCTGTTCCCAAGAAAGAGCTGGAACTGTCCTGCTTTGCATCTGTCTCTTCTTATTCCAGATACCTCCGGAGCAGCTCAGAATCAAATGCCTTGGGTTGGGGACAAGTCGAGGCAGAATGCAGAAAGAAGTACTTTGTGCCAGGCAGAGATTCTCCACCCTTCCTGTTGTGTGATTCGGAGCACGTCACTCCTCATTCTCAGCCTTGGATTCCTCTTCTGGAAAATGGGAAGAGATTGGTTCATTCAGATGGCTTGGGAGTTGAGAGTCCTAGCAGAATGCCTGGCACACAATAGTTACGCCGTAGCCCCTGTTCTTAATCAACAGCTTGACTGAAGCACGGCCAGGGAGAAGCATGACTTTGTGCATGGACTTGGGTGCCCTTGGATGGTTGCTTGGTCAGCTAAGTGCTCCTTGTCGAGCATCCCTTTGATCAAGCCACTTCCCTTCTCAAAAGCGCTCATTGGCTTCCTGGCTCCCCTGAATGCAATCCAGATTCTTGAACCTGGCCATCGAGGCCTTCATTTCCCAAAATGTCTTTTCAGCCAACTTTTCCACTATCCAAAGAGCCACTTAATAAATATTTCAAGAAAGAGAAAATACAATGAATCTAGCATTATGTGGCTGAAAATCTTGGCCCTGTTCCCAAGAAGCTCATAAGCTAATTGGGAGCAGGAAGATACCAAAAGAAAAGGAACCTGGCATTGTTTCCTAACTTATTTTATATTTTAATTAAGGGACCACCAATTCAGGCCCAGAGCTCTAGTTCCAATGCTGCCCCAAGTTTGGAGGGCCTGCTCCAATGTGACACTTGGAGAATGCCACTTAAGTTAAACCACAGGCCAGGCACAGTGGTTCACACCTACAATCCCCGCACTTTGGGAAGCCGAGTTGGGAGGATTGCTTGAGCCCAGGAGTTTAAGACCAGCCTGGGCAACATAGCAAGACCCTGTCTCTAAAAAAAATACCTAAAAATCGGCCACATGGTGGCACATGCTTGTAGTCCCAGTCAGTTGGGAGGCTGAGATGGGAGGATGGCTTGAGTCCAGGAGTTCAAGACTGCAGTAAGCTAGGATTGCACCATTGCACTCCAGTCTGGGCAACAAAGCAAGATCCTGTCTCCAAAAAAAAAAAAGTTAAGCCACAGGTGGGTGCTGCGAGTTGCTGACCACACCTCCCAGGCCAGGTGGGTGTGGCAGTCTCATGAGGAAGCCCCCAATCAGAATGATGACTGTACCCACTTCTGTTTTCTCCATCGACACCCCACGCTTGGCCAACAATCATAAAGAATGTCAGAAATGGGTATTCGAGGGTGTGTTTTCTTTTTGGTGAAAATAGTTGCCTGTTAACCAGCATGATGACATGAGAAATAAGCTTCCATTTGGTGAAAGTCAAGGTACTCAAGGCCTGTGTGATTTAGAGACACTTTGCAGGGCTGTAAGAACTGTGTGGGAACCCAGTGAGGCCTGAAGGCTCTGCCCTGTGGCTTTGCTGCCCGAAGCTTGATCCCTGTTGGTCCTGGGTGCAGTCCTTCACCTGGGAGGACTTCCATTTGCCTAATGTTGAGTAAGAGGCCTGTGAGGACAAAGAAGTCCTGCCAGGAACATTGTATTTGTTGCAGATAAGCACATGCAAGCGGGTAGGAGCTCCTCAAAGGGCAGAGCGCCCAGATTCCACCAGTGGCACTCAGGAATTTATACAGCCGTGTGGGGCTCCTCTTGAATGAATGCTTGGTTTCTAAATGTCTCCATGTGGCAGAATTTGGAGAGATTGCTTCCATTCTCACGTGGTTGTGAGGTTTGGAGAAGGAGCTAGCCCTCACTCACTTCCAACTCTGACAGGAGCTACACTCATCTACCGAAACCAAAAGCAGCCTAAGAGTCGTGCACAACTGCAATTTTTTTTTTCTTTTTGAGTCGGAGTCTCACTCTGTTGCCCAGGCTGGAGTGCAATGGCATGATCTCAGCTCACTGCAACCTCCACCTCCCGGGTTCAAGCGATGCTCCTGCCACAGCCTCTCAAGTAGAGGGGATTACAGGTACCCACCACCATGCCTGGCTAGTTTTTGTATTTTTAGTAGAGACGGGGTTTCGCCATGTTCACCAGGCTGGTCTCAAACTCCTGACCTCAGGTGATCTGCCCACCTCAGCTTCCCAAAGTGCTGGAATTACAGGGGTGAGCCACTGCACCCGGCCGCCAGTCCATTTTTAACAGAGCCCTTTATTAATAGTCATTTGCAGGGCATACCTAGGCTAGTGTGTCCTGGACGCGGAGTTGAATGTATCCATGACACTTGGATGTAAGAAATGTCACATCGATTTATCTAATCCATTATATCTGTTTTGAGACCTTCTCCCCACTGACACAGCTGGGCAAACATGACAATGTCAGTCATTCACTGATGCTCCCTCCCTCCCTGCCTAAGCCCTAAAGCATATTAGGAAGCCCTCCTGCATAGTGGGCAGCGGTGTCCCCTCTCTGGGCATGTGTGACAGGCATCTTTGGGGTAAGGTTTGCCAGCCTGGCCTCTTGCCCAGCTCAGCTTTGCCCTTGCTGTGGAGGGCATCTCCTGCTGTTGGCCACGATTCCTTGGCACCAGCCAGCTAGAGGGACCTCATGCAGGCTATGGGGCCTCCTTGGTTGGGCTCATGAGTCCCAGGTACCAAGGTGGTCTTTTCCACCACAGGTTGGGCCACTTGAGTGGCTATGGATTTGGAAGTCCCAGGTCCCTTGGCCCATCCTGTTAGATCTCTCTCCTCCTTCCTCGTCAGCCCCATGGAGCTTAGCTACACCTGTTTCTCTCTATAGATCTCTCTCTCATTTGGTATACCAAAGCCTCCACTTCTTGTCTCTTCGGGATTTCATGGTTGAGTTATTCTTTTTACCTCCCAAAACCCTAAAGCCCTTAAACCCACAGGCTGTTAGAGGCTGGAGTATGGGACTCAGATGCCCAGCTGCCCCAGAGAGCAATTCATTAACAGTAAAAAGGCTAAGATGGGAATTTGTCTCAGAAAATCACCCATTACATATGAATCTTTATTGAACTTTCACAGCAAAGTCCCAAGAAGATGCTAGTATCGTCATCACCCCCATTTAACAGACAGGAAAATGGCCTTAGAAGGATTAACCAATTGTCACATGGCTAGTAAGTAGAGCAATGTCAGCTTTGCTTCCAGGTTCAGTCTGGATCGCCCATTATGTAGTGGTTCTTAGAGTGAGACCTGATTCCTTCTGGGCCTCAGTTTTCCCAGCTGCAGAGTGGCAGGTTCTAGCTACCAGCAGGCAGACTAAACTCACGAAGCCCAGGCCTACCCGATCAGCATCTCCCTCGGGCAGTCAGCTCTGGCCTACAGGCGTTTGACACACTTATGCTTAGTCACAGGCCCTGGGTGTATGAAAAAGTGATCCTGATCAACGGGCACCTTAGCTTGGGCTCAGTCAGTCATAAATGAGCCGACAGCTCACCTGTCTCAAAGGTGGCAACTTGAAGAACTCTACCTCTGGGACATCAAAGCTGGCAAATGACCCTGGGAAACAGCTAGGCAGCAGCACAACAGAGGCGGCTCCCGCGGCAGATGGGCACGTTCCCCAGGTCCCATGCTTCATCGGTGTGTGTCATTTTTATTGCAGCTTCTGCCTCCCCAGCACAGAGGGACCTTCCCAGAGAGGATGTCTTACGCCTCACCTGATCGTGTTCTGAGAAGAGGAGACTAGAAGAGAAGCTTTCAACTCCCCAAACACAGCTGGGTTTGTTTCATTTAATCTCCCAGCCTGTTTTTCTGCTGTCCTCCTGAAGAATATTTAATCTCACAGTTAAAACCACCAAAAGCGACTTTTTTCCCCCCTCAACTGCTCAGTAACACATGACCGTGCAAATTCGTTTGGCCCCAGCACCATAAGTCATAAAAGGCATCTAGTGGGCGGCGTGAGTCAATTTCCATCAGGCCTTTGGACAGCGACCTAACCACGGCTTGTCAGTTTCCCCAGGCAGCCCCAGTCCCCCAGTGTGGACATCTGGAGCCAGGGATTGACAAGTGGATTGCAGGGCTGGGCCCTGCCTCCCACCCTGTTCAGTTCCAGCCCAGCCACAGTCGCCGCCAACGAGGACACGCACTGTCTTTCTGCACATTCCCACGTACACACCCCTCCGCGGCCCCCTCTCCATTCATTCCTGCATTTCCGGCAGTGTGAATTCTGACAGCTCGGGCTGTGTCAGCCTCTCCGGTGCATTCCTCACCGCACCACCTCACTGCTTCTGAGCCTGCTGGCAGCACTCCCCACCCTACCTACCAAGCCGAAGGTGCAAGGACCCTCTTGATCCCCACTGTGTCTTTGTCCCAGGGCCACAGCAAAGTAGCACCACCCTCCCCCTCACACACCCTCTTGCCTAATTTATTGGACTTTTAAACACATTTATTTACTGTGGTATCTACACCACACGAAACATCTGGAGAGAAACCGGGGGCCAATCCACCAGGAATTTAAATGTTTTTTCTGTACTGTAACTTTGAAAACTGAACCAGGAAAACCTGACACCTTTAGTCAATCGCCTTGTGGTGAGTAGACTTAAGTCAATATATAAACTGTAAAGGTTGTCCCTCTTTGCCCTCTCTCTATCCATGAAACTCATTCACCAAACAGCCCGGAAATATTTCTTTCGTCTCCTCTCAGAGGTATGTGAAGCCAACCTGAATCAACAACACAGTTGTTCAACCAGCCTCACTGAGAACCAAGGCATTTCAGAGCTGGAAAGATGCTAGGGTCTGGGGTCTTATCTTCCACGTTTATCTGCCTTGTTATAACCTATCCAGTCACCTTCTTTGCCCTTGCCAGACCTCATCGCTTACAGTACCACTATTGAAGGAGCATGACGTCTGTGACTTTTCTTTTCTTTCTTTCTTTCTTTTTTTTTTTTTTGAGATGGAGTCTCACTCTGTCTCCAGGCTGGAGTGCAATGGCGTGATCTTGGCTCACCGCAACCAACCTTCCTTTCCTGGATTCAAGTGATTCTCTTGCCTCAGGCTTCCCAGTAGCTGGGACTACAGGCATGCGCCACCACGCCCAGTTAATTTTTGTATTTTTAGTAGAGATGAGGTTTCACTATGTTGGCCAGGCTGGTCTCAAACTCCTGACCTCATGATCTGCCTGCCTCAGCCTCCCAAAGTGCTGGGATGACAGGCGTGAGTCACCGTGCCCGGCCACATCTGTGACTTTTCTAAAGCTTTAAGATAATGTCACCCATAGGCGGAAAGGCCCACTCATTTCATGCATCTGCAGTCACTCTTCTGACCAGGTGCGGCTCCCTTTTGTTCTATCAAAGAGAAAGCCAGTCTAAATTAATGGGAAACTAGAGAATTAGGTCAGTTTTCAAGATGAAATTGTTGGTAGCTTAAGGAATGAGCTACTTGAATTCCACGCTAAAAAAGTGTAACTCCTGAGGAGTGAGCTTTTCTTTTTTCCTTCCGTAATGTCAGGCACTAAGGGAGGTTCAGAAACGCAGAGCAGCACCTACCCCTTCCTCAAGCAGCTCGGGGTCCAGTGCAGTTGGCCCTCATTTAACCAATAATCACACCCATGTGTGAAAGGCCCAGTG